ACTGTTACGTAACACCATTGTTGCAGAATCTGTGGCGCAATCGGTTAGCGCGTTCGGCTGTTAACCGAAAGGTTGGTGGTTCAAGCCCACCCGGAAACGAAGTACAAGTTTTTATTACACACATTTTTTCATGTGTGGATTCGCGATATGAATACAACATAACACCAATGTTACAGTCTCTGTGGCGTAATCGGTTAGCGCGTTCGTCTGTTAAACGAAAGGTTGGTGGTTCAAGCCCACCCAGGGACGAAGTACAAGTTTATATTACACACATTTTCTCATGTGTGGATTCGCGATATGAATACAACATAACACCAATGTTGCAGTTTCTGTGGCGCAATCGGTTAGCGCGTTCGGCTTTCAACCGAAACGTTGGTGGTTCAAGCCCACCCAGTAGCGAAGTACACGTTTTTATTACACACATTTTCTCATGTGTGGATTCGCGAAATGAATACAACATAACACCTTTGTTGCATTCTCTGTGGCGCAATCGATTAGCGCGTTCGGCTGTTAACCGAAAGGTTGGTGGTTCAAGCCCACCCAGTAGCGAAGTACACGTTTTTATTACACACATTTTCTCATGTGTGGATTCGCGATATGAATACAACATAACACCATTGTTGCATTTTCTGTGGCGCAATCGGTTAGCGCGTTCGGCTGTTAACCGAAAGGTTGGTGGTTCAAGCCCACCCGGGACGAAGTACAAGTTTTCATTACACACATTTTGTCATGTGTGGATTCGCGATATGAATACAACATAACACCCATGTTGCAGCCTCTGTGGCGCAATCAGTTAGCGCGTTTGGCTGTTACCCGAAAGGTTGGTGGTTCAAGCCCGCCCGGGAACGAATTACAAGTTTTTATTACACAAAATTTCTCATGTGTGAATTCGCGATATGAATGCAACATGACCCCATTGTTGCAGCCTCTGTGGCGCAATCAGTTAGCGCGTTCGGCTGTTAACCGAATGGTTGGTGGTTCAAGCCCACCCAGGAACGAAGTACAAGTATTTATTACACACATTTTCTCATGTGTGATTCGCAATATGAATGCAACTGTTACGTAACACCATTGTTGCAGAATCTGTTGCGCAATCGGTTAGCGCGTTTGGCTGTTAACCGAAAGGTTGGTGGTTCAAGCCCACCCGGAAACGAAGTACAAGTTTTTATTACACACATTTTCTCATGTTTGGATTCGCGATATGAATACAACATAACACCGATGTTGCAGTCTCTGTGGCACAATCGGTTAGCGCGTACAGCTGTTAACCGAAAGGTTGGTAGGTCAAGCCCACCCGGGACGAAGTACATGTTTTTAGTACACACATTTTCTCATGTGTGGATTCGAGATATGAATACAACATAACACCAATGTTGCAGTCTCTGTGGCGTAATCGGTTAGCGCGTTCGGCTGTTAACTGAAAGGTTTGTGGTTCAAGCCCACCCAGAAACGAAGTACAAGTTTTTATTACACACATTTTCTCATGTGTGGATTTTCTATATGAATACAACATAACACCAGTGTTGCAGTCTCTGTGGCGTAATCGGTTAGCGCGTTCGTCTGTTAAACGAAAGGTTGGTGGTTCAAGCCCACCCAGTAACGAAGTACACGTTTTTATTACACACATTTTCTCATGTGTGGATTCGCGATATGAATACAACATAACACCATTGTTGCATTTTATGTGGCGCAATCGGTTAGCGCGTTCGGCTGTTAACCGAAAGGTTGGTGGTTCAAGCCCACCCAGGGACGAAGTAGAAGTTTTTATTCCACACATTTTCTCATGTGTGGATTCGCGATATGAATACAACATAACATCAATGTTGCAGTCTCAGTGGCGCAATCATTTAGCGCGTTCTTCTGTTAACCGAAAGGTTGGTGATTCAAACCCACCCTGGGACGAAGGACAAGTTTTTATTTACACACATTTTCTCATGTGTGGATTCGCGATATGAATACAACATAACACCAATGTTGCAGTCTCTGTGGCGCAATCGGTTAGCGCGTTCGGCTGTTAACCGAAAGGTTGGTGGTTCAAGCCCACCCAGGGACGAAGGACAAGTTTTTATTTACACACATTTTCTCATGTGTGGATTCGCGATATGAATACAACAATAACACCAATGTTGCAGTCTCTGTGGCGCAATCGGTTAACGCGTTCGGCTGTTAACCGAAAGGTTGGTGGTTCAAGCCCACTCGGGACGAAGTACAAGTTTTCATTACACACATTTTCTCATGTGTGGATTCGCGATATGAATACAACATAACACCAATGTTGCAGAATCTGTGGCACAATCGGTTAGCGCGTTCGTCTGTTAACCGAATGGTTGGTGGTTCAAGCCCATCCAGGAACGAAGTACAAGTATTTATTACACACATTTTCTCATGTGTGGATTCGCAATATGAATACAACTGTTACGTAACACCATTGTTGCAGAATCTGTGGCGCAATCGGTTAGCGCGTTCGGCTGTTAACCGAAAGGTTGGTGGTTCAAGCCCACCCGGAAACGAAGTACAAGTTTTTATTACACACATTTTCTCATGTGTGGATTCGCGAAATGAATACAACATAACACCGATGTTGCAGTCTCTGTGGCGCAATCGGTTAGCGCGTATCGGCTGTTAACTGAAAGGTTGGTGGGTCAAGCCCACCCGGGACGAAGTACAAGTTTTTATTACACACATTTTCTCATGTGTGGATTCGAGATATGAATACAACATAACACCAATGTTGCAGTCTCTGTGTCGCAATCAGTTAGCGCGTTTGGCTGTTAACCGAAAGGTTGGTAGTTCAAGCCCACCCAGAAACGAAGTACAAGTTTTTATTACACACAATTTCTCATGTGGGAATTCGTGATATGAACACAACATAACAGCGATGTTGCAGTCTCTGTGGCGCAATCGGTTAGCGCGTTCGGCTATTAACCGAAAGGTTGGTGGGTCAAGCCCACCAGGTACGAAGTGCCAGTTTTTATTACACACATTTTCTCATGTGTGGATTCGCGATATGAATACAACATAGAAACACCCAGAAACGAAGTACAAGATTTTTTTAAACTCAATTTATTATGTGTGGATTAGCGATATGAGTACAACATAACATCATTGTTGCAGTCTCTGTGGGGCAATCAGTTAGCGCGTTTGCCTGTTAACCGAAAGGTTGGTGGTTCAAGCCCACCCGGCACGAAGTACATGTTTTCATTACACACATTTTCTCATGTGTGGATTCGCGATATGAATACAACATAACATCAATGTTGCAGTCTCTGTGGCGCAATCAGTTAGCGTGTTTGGCTGTTAACCGAAAGGTTGGTGGTTCAAGCCCACCCAGGGACGAAGTGCAAGTATTTATTACACACATTTTCTCATGTGTGGATTCGCGATATGAATACAACATAACACCATTGTTGTATTTTCTGTGGCGCAATAGGTTAGCGCGTTCGTCTGTTAACCGAAAGGTTGGTGATTCAAGCACACCCAGAAACGAAGTACAAGATTTTATTACACACATTTTCTCATGTTTGGATTCGCGATATGAATACAACATAACACCGATGTTGTAGTCTCTGTGGCGCAATCGGTTAGCGCGTTCGGCTGTTAACCGAAAGGTTGGTGGTTCAAGCCCACCCGGCACGAAGTACATGTTTTCATTACACACATTTTCTCATGTGTGGATTCGCGATATGAATACAACATAACATCAGTGTTGCATTCTCTGTGGCGCAATCGGTTAGCGCGGTCGGCTGTTAACCGAAAGGTTGGTGGTTCAAGCCCACCCCGGACGAAGTACAAGTTTTCATTACACACATTTTGTCATGTGTGGATTCGCGATATGAATACAACACAACATATCACCAAGGTTGCAGTCTCTGTTTCGCAATTGGTTAGTGCGTTCGGCTGTTAACCGAAAGGTTGGTGATTCAAGCCCACCCAGGGACGAAGTAGAAGTTTTTATTACACACATTTTCTCATGTGTGTTGATTCGCGATATGAATACAACATAACACCGGCGTTGCAGTCTTTGTGGCGCAATCGGTTTGCGCGTTCGGCTTTCAACCGAAACGTTGGTGGTTCAAGACCACCTGGGAACGAATTGTAAGTTTTTATTACACACATTTTCTCATGTGTGGATTCGAGAAATGAT